CTATAAGAGTTTTTCTATACATATTAAATTGGCAATTATGTTAAAATGTCTTTACGAACTGCTACCTTTCTAAATTTGAGCCCAAAATATTTGATTGGTTATTTTGAAATGTTATTGAAAGTGATTGTTATTAATGGTTTTAGTGAAATTCATATTAATGATTTCAGTGATATGTTGAGTACATGATATTGCTGCTTTCGAATGTTTAAAGAGATTTAGAAATAATTTAAGTATGCAAGTGGACTCATCCGGTTCGCCGGTGAGGTATAAGTGGACATATCCGGGACGCCGGTAGGGATTAAGTGGACTCATCCGGTACGCCGGTGAGGTATAAATGGACCTGCAGGGATTAAGTGGACCTATCTGAGACGCCGATAGGGATTAAGTGGACCCATCAGGACGCTGATGGGGTATATAAGTGACCTACTTGGGACGCCAGTAGGGTATTTTGTGAAATCATTTGAATTATGTACTGCCGTTAAAAGTGTTATAAGCATTTCAATTACTCGGATTATACTTAATTATGCATTTATTGAAAGTAAAACTGCTGATGCATTTCTGTTAATATATCTCCTTTTGGAAAATATTGATATCTTTCAACCATGATTATTTTTAGGATTATGATGATCACTTACTGAGTAGCCAAACTCATCAAACTATGGTAAATATTTTTCAGGATAACTGCGGCTTCATTTTGAGTACTCGTCAAGGGCAACTTTGGAAGATATTGTAGTTGTGTCTAAGCATTTTTTTTGTTACTTTGTAAGAATTCGTCAGTGTAAATTTGTCCTATCAAGAGATGTACATATGTTTTGATTGTCACATCTCAAGAATATCAGTATTGTAAATTCTTGTAAAGTTTATGTTGGGAAAAAAAGTGTGAGAAAAAATTAGGTTGGGGTAAGTTGCATAAAAAATGTGATCTTGGAGTTTTTTTGTAAATTTCCAAATGATTTATATAAAGTTGCAATAACCACCTCAAAAATCCATCATATATATCTATGAGTAATGATCCTATAGGACCCTCCCCCACCCATGTGTGTAGGACCCCAAAGGAACATCATTAAATTTGACACACATCTCTAAAAAAGCTATCATATGGGTGTGGAACTTGACTTTTCTAGAGATCTGTAAATGGTGATCTTTTGGGGGTCCTACACACATGGGCGGAAGAGAGTCCTATATGATCATTTCTCTATATCTATATGAGTAATGATCCTATGAGACCCTCCCACACCCATGTGTGTAAGACCCCAAAGATCATCATTAAATTGACATATCTCTAAAAAAGTTATCACATGGGTGTGGGACTTGACTTTTCTAAAGATCTGTGCCAAATTTAATGGTAATCCTTTAAGGTCCTATAGACATGGGTGTGGGAGGGTCTCATAGGATCGTTATATATATATATATATCATTTCAACATTGAGATGTATGTATATAAAATAAAAATAAAAAATTTGAGTCAAAAAAATAGTACATCTTACAATACATTATCTAGACCGTACAATTTCATGATTTTCATATGTTTATAGATCTACTTGATTTTATCCATTTTTGGAGTCTAAAATTTTAGTCGTAAATATGAAAATAGATTTTGAGATAATCTTGAGAA